ACTGCTTTAAAAATACGCTGTCGATAGAACTCATATGCATATGAAAAGCACTGTTGAAGGCGGCCTCATAAAAATACCTTAGAGATTTAAATAGAAACAATATAAAATATTTTGAGTAAAGTTGTATTTCTTATGACGTCACCTTAGCGTACTGAAAAGCCTTTCAATAGAGGCATAAAAGCCATTTTTCAACCATAATAGAGATATTTTTGAATTATACTCTTTTAAGACAGTCCTCTATGTTATACCAAAGAGTATCAAATGATCCTTGCGCATTACGACCTATGGTCGAATATAAAATGGGAATAAATAAATGTTGCTCTAAATTTTGTGAATTTTGTGCGTATTAAAGTAGTTTCATTCAACCGCGTCTTACAATTTATAACTCAACTTGCCAATTAAGCGATACCAAAGAAGTCAGGATAAACATTTTAAAAGCGATATGAGAGTATTGTGAGAGTAGTAAGTATTTCAAAGTACGAAACAGCACTTTGGTAACTATACTCATTTGCTGGTATTCAAACTTATACTAATATTATAGTACTAGGGCTTAGAAGAATTGTATTAATCAAACCTTTTTTAACAAAGTTATCAGTCGTTTAAAGACAACGAGAATTCCCCTATTTAAGGGATATCCAACCAGAGATCTATGTATTTATTAGTATCCACTATATTTCCCCCGTTATATTTCAAAAAAGATCAATCTGAAACCGATCAAATATTTTGAAAGTATCGTTATACTAAATCCACAAATGAAAATTGTATGTACCGCAGGTTATTTTTCTTGCCAACTTCTGAAATAATATTTATATTTAATCAAGGAAGAAATGATCTAAAAGCTACTCACAATTTTCGTAAAAACGACACTAAATGAATAGGATTATAATTATATTAACATCAAATACTTTTCAATACTACTTTTGAGTTCCCGAAAAATAGGTATTTTCGTCGTGTCGGTAATTTTTGAGCAAAACAAGGCATATAATTAAACAATAAAGGTATCAAGCCCAAAATGTGTCAACTATTAAAAAAATTGTGCACTAAAACATCGAAAACAGCTTTTCTGGTAATATTTTCAATTTAGCATATTTTTGAACACAGTTGTCATCTGGCTAAAACAAGTAAAATACAAACAAAAAATATAGGAGAAAATTGCTAAAACCGCAATCGCTATAAGTATTACTGACCACAATTTAAACCTAATATTTGGAATTAGAAACACATATACCTACCGAAAATTAAGACATAACTAATTAAGATTTAATTTAAAAATCTGAAAAAAATACTTTTCAGAAAGCCTAAGCTAAGCACAATTCAAACCAAATATTTGGAATTAGAGATACATACATTGGAATAGAGTTACCACCTACCGAAAATCAAGAAATAATTAAGGTGTAATTTAATAATGTGCGATCAAGAAAATACTGTTTAAAAAACTTTATAACAGTTTCTTTTTATGAGCTGCCAACTTTCGGGAAAAAAAGTTAGCATTTTATACAATATATGTATAAAATATATATTAAATATAATAAAAAAAAACTTTCAGAAAAGTATACATTTACATATTAATTTATGTGTGTTACCACCTTGTGAAAAAATTAGAACTGAGCACAATATTAAAAATGGTTAAGAAATCTTCGGAATAGTAGATCCATTTTATTATATTCACAAATGCTTTTATCCATTTCCATAAAATAAAAAATCATTTCACTTTTATTTTAACCTGTTTTTAATCTAAAATAAAGTGTCTATCACCATTTTTTCTCGTGGGAAAGATTTTCAAATTAACTGAATCAAAGAGTTTAGGTATCATTTGGTGGTTTATTGCCTAAACTAATTAAAAATAGTCCGCGACGTAATTAAGTTAAATATTTCGCAAGCAATTTATTTATACACACATATGTATACATTTGAAAAGAGCGAATTCTGCTTAAATTAATTTTTGTTAGACAAAAATAAAATACAACGACAATTGCATTCTTTATTTAATTATTCTAACACACGATTTCTTGCGCAAATGAATAACGTAATTAATGACTCTCACTATTTGTACGAGTGAAATCAAAAGCTACATGAGCTAGTTCAGCTTAATAGCGCAGAAAGCAGAAGCGCGCCAACACGCATGCGCGACCTTCACTTCTACTTGTACTCGCGTTGGAAACGAGTTCTGTTACTCTTTCTTTTTATTGGCGGTTTCGCAGCTTCGATCAAAGTCTGTATTTATGCTGGTGTATATGTAGGTGTATTAATAATGTATTAACCAATTCTTGGCAGCGAATAAATGCAAATTATTTATAATACATGCAAATATTAATGGTTGACTCTTTTATTTTACCTCTAAGATATTACTAACTATACAAATATAGCATAACTTATATTACATACAGACTAGGTAGTTGAAATATTTAGCAGTTTAAACGAGTTAGTATGATTATTAGTGGATTAATTCACTGAACCAGCTCAACTGGTACGAGTATATATGTATATACTCGTATTGTATTTCTATCAGTAGCAATCACGGCAGGACTGAAGATTCTAAGTTTTCTGATTTATGTCTAAAAAATATTTCTTATAAATACTAATTTAAACTTTTTGAGATGTTGTATGTTTAGCAAGCGATTAATCAGTATGAGTTAAGTAATTTTTTTGTAAACTTCACTATAAATACAAGAATATATATACAATATAATGCATAAATAATTTTTCTGCCAGTTATATGAATACACGGAGAGCTATAGTTTCAAAAGTGGTGCCCATCTAGGCAACAACAATAATGTTATATGCAAAGTATGTAAATATATGCTAGTTATCAACCACAAATTGCCTTGAAAAGTCAAAACAGCTGACCTCAAAACAAGCAGGCGCCCTTACAAGCAGAGCAAATAAAATAAAACATTTTAGGATTTTAGGTACAGTTTACACTGTATTCGTATAAACCATATTAATTTCACACTGTCACAATTAATCCTAAATGTAATTTATAAAGCACACTTCATGCCGAAAATGTTAAAAAGATGTAGAATATCATGGCATCCGGTAAAATTTACAAGCCCCATATACATATGTACAGAAGTAGTTTTAAGCGAAAGGAAATTTATGAAGTATATGTATAAATGCATATATATTTACATACCTTATGAAAGCAGTGCACATTTCAAAGGCTACCAAAGAAGAAAAGCATAAATATATATACCAATTTAGATGAATATATATACTATATATTGCGTCAAGTTTTTGTTTTAGCAACTTTCAAGTTCAGGTAAGTCATAGTCTACTATAAAAATACTCATTTAACATTAATCACATTAACACTCAAGATTTTTGATATTAATTTTTGATACAATATGGTAATGTGAGAATGATTAATGGATTTTTGAGTATAAAAAAAAATTTTAATATATTGGTTGCATTAATTTTTTAACACTTTTATATTGATAGCGTTTCAAATGTTGCATTTTCGAACGTTGTGTGTCAAATTTTTGACGTTTTCTCATTCTCACGAAGTTCGCTTTATTTTCAATGGTTCATTATGAGGTAAAATGGGTTAATTATGAAAATTATTGTACAATATATTTAAGTAAATATCTATTATTGGTTGTCACGACATAGTTTTAAATAATACAAGATATTGTAGTCCATAAATGATGGCCACAATTTGTGAATGCGAAAATCATACAAGAACATGCAAAATACCTTCAGATGTCATAAATTCCACTACTAATAGCAGTTTTAGTGCCGTCATTAGTTTTTCCAATTCTTTTCATAATTGTCAACTACTTCTTCGCTTCATTAAACGAGTGATTACGAGAACAGTATTGCAATTGTCACCGTAGCGAACAAAGACAGGAAATATAAAGTGCATAACTGTTTTCTCAATAAATTCCATTTAAAAAAGGAAGTGTGTGCACGTTTTAGGGTGTTTCATCCCATATTTATAAAATGTACCATTTCATTATTTTAGTTCTTGTAAAAAAAATATATATACATTTATAATTCAGCGTAAAGAGAGTAATTATTATAGCCGAAATTCTAAGAATAAACTTTAGACTCTCTTTCTCCCAGCTTTTTAGTGCCTGGCAGCACAGTATAACATATACATATTTCTCAAATCGTTCTGAATTTCTTTCGAAATTACTTTTTTAAGTCTTCCAGAAACACTGGATTACTTTTGAAATATTTGCTTTAAGAAGCCAGGATATTCGTAATTATGTAGCACAAGAACAAGTTTTGTTTGTTGGTAAAAGTTTTGTCTGTATTGGAAAAGTTAAGTAGACAAGAATGTGAACTTAATAGCTTATCATTAAAATCTATTATAAAGAAAAAGCTTAAATCACGAACTTCCATCGAGTTACTTTAAAAAATATAATAATAATAAAAACTAAAACATAAAAGGACTACCCTAGCATAGCAAAATATAATATAGCAGTCATTTAATACGAATTTAAGCCTTCGAAAAATAATGCATTTAATCCATCATTATTGGCAGCAACTACAATGACTGCAAAAATCGTATTTGTTCACCCAGCCACGCATGCGCACATCGCAGCGCAGTTGGTCAGGCAAAGCACTGCTTGGAATGCATGAATATATGTATAATAGTACACAAGTGAATACGTAACTGTCAACGTACCAACAAATATTTCTTTATATAAGTATACAGTGACGCGCATACGAATGGGGAAGCTTAATTTATGTGATGACGGTGCTGATTGATAAAATCGTAGAATAAAAAAGTTGTTTTAAAATCGCTAAGAAATGTATGTATATATACAAGTATATATATATGCAGACGAGTATATATATGTATATTGTGTATTTATGCAAATCTCTTTTGCACTTATCTTTATTATCTTTTTTTTTTGAGGAACCGCCAATTTGATGATATTCGCCGCTAAAGTATTTTTTTGACTTTAAATATATTTGCCAATTTTTCTTTTGCCCACTTTTAAGTTTCTTTTGTTATATTAAACATGTGGATAAAGTACATGTGTATTACTTACCGGAAGCATTTTGTCGTTTATTTTTATTTTCAGTCAATCGCCTATTTTCTTGTTGGCACTTTATAGATGCTTTGTCCGCTTTGTCCCTTCCAAAGTTTAATGCACACCAATTTGTATGGTAAGTAATACAGTAAATTTATTACTTTTGGCGTTTAGTTAATAAAAGTACATAATATCACGTCTGAATTTTGTAGATTAATTGATTAATTTAATGGTAGACAAACTGCTCTTCAATAAACATAACATTTAGTTTAGTTTAATTATTGCTTTCAGCTGTCAGTTCTTGACATTTGATATTTCTACTTGTCGAATTGTACTTTATTTTGCGGCTATATTTCTAGATAAATAAAATTTAGTTAAATTTCTTTAAATATCCGCAGGTCAACCTCTAAGACACATTTGGTTACAGCAATTGAGTCTGCCAAGAAGTCAAAACAAAGAGAATCGAAAAGAGGTTTCAGCCTAGCATACATCAATTCTTTCCATATTTTTTTCAAGGTTCATTTTTAGACAGCTTGCTATCCCAATATCTTCAAAAGATCAACAATGGTGTGGTAAAGAATCATATCCGTAAATTTGATTTTTTTAAAACAATCTTAGGTATTAACTGTGATTCAAGACTTCGGCCGACTTTCAATTTGATAAAATGCCTTTACTTATACATTCACAAATACCATATAGTTGGTTCATCGACTTTATATGCTCAAACTCCACCAACTTTCCCTGAAGTCAGACAAGGTTACCTTTTATATGTGAATTTTCAAACACTTTAGATGAAGTCGATACTTGAACTTGTTATTAGAAAAACGTCACTACAGAAATTTTCTCCGAGCGTCTAACAAGATGCGGCTCTCATAATATATAGCTTAAGTCTTTCAGTCCGTAATATTTGTAATCACTATTATTATTCTATTAGGAGAGTACTATACCGCATGTTTAAAAAAAGATGGATGGTTTTCGTATATATATAATTGAAACATTTTGTTCCAATTGTCGATATTTGGACTTCTATATTAGAAAAATCTCTACCTAACCACAATGTCGTATTAAATTAATTATATGTTTTCGAGCACAAAAAGTAGATTAGTCTGCACAATTATGAATAATAATGAAATATTATGGTGAAGTATTGAGCTTATTATAGATCTATGCTTAAATGTCAAGTAAGGTATTTCAAAAATATTTGGAGATCGGCCTAAAATTTGTAAATTATCAAAATCCAATAAATTTTTTGTTTGAATTTAGAAAAAAATAAATATTTAAAAAGACCTTTTTCAAATTTGAGATTTGCTAAATGTTTGTGGAGTTTCAACAACAAAATTTTTAGCACGAAAATTGAAACTCGAAACAGAATACTTATTTGTAAAGGAATTTAAAAATACACTGTTATTATGTGGAGAAAAAAATTAAGTTATGTGTTACATGAAAAAAAAAGAAAACTGACAGAGTAAATACATTAAAAATATACATGTAAGTTATATATATATATATTTTTTAATTTTAAAAATTTTAAAGTTTTTAAAACACTATTTTTATAATTTGTAAGTATTATACAAATTTTGTGTTTGTTTTTAGGTTTTTTTTGTAAATAATTAATAAAAATTTTAAAGTAATTTTACGGAAATAAAAATATATTAATTTTTTAAATCTAACAATCATTTAGGGGGTTTCAAAATATTATTTTTATCATTTGAAAGTGTTATAAAATCTTAATTTTATACATATAAAATATTTAAATATGAAAAGAAGTGACAGATTTTTTAATTTTCGGTTGATTTAATCATAATTTTTTCGAAAATCTAAATTAAATAATATTTTGCTGCAAAAAAAAAGAAAGAAAACTGACAGCGACTGCATTAAAATGTATTTTTTTCAAAAATTTTTTTTTTTTTTATATTTAAGAAGACCATTTTTATATTTTTAAGCATTGTAAAAATTAATTTGCAATTCATTTATTTTTTTATTAATTATTATTATTATAGTTTTTCTTTTGTGAGTTATATATCATTAATTAAATGTTGTCATTTTTTGTACATTTCTTGCGCAATAAAAACAAATATTTTTAACAATTTTTAAATTTTTTATAAAATTAATTGTATTTTGGTTATGTAAATTTTCCAGTTTTTAGTTTTTTCTTCATAATTTAGTTTTATAAATTTCCATTTTCTTAGTTATTTCTCATTCTCAACTTTCATCTGTTTGCACTTGTTATGGTATTTTCTACGACACATTCACATTTTTTAGAACACCTCCATTCAGCGAATTTACGCAAATCGTTAATTAATAGCTGATTTAAAAATTCCATAGTTTCACAATTTATCCAAAACAATTCACTAACAAAGAAGCAAAGCAGCTAAAATGACAATTGCGCAGCCGTAGCCACAGCTTCAGCCACAACCATTTGCAGCTTGTCTGCAGAGTTTACGCAATCGCTTTTCATTTCGCACTAAAAGAAACTTCGAATCACCACTGTTCACTTTCAGCTGCTGCTGTGCGCATAGCAGCTCTGTACGAGTATATATTTTTCAGCTGGCGCTTATTTATAGATCACATCAGTGGAAACGCACAAAAATTCCAACAAAAAGATCCAACAAAAAAAACAAGCAATAATGATTCAAAATTTGTAGTATGCATTGAAACCGCCGCGTCATGCGCTCTGTATCCGCAACAATAACACCAAAGTATGTGCATGCATATATACACATGGGCATTAATATATGAAGTATATATGTATGTGCACATCATCCTTTGCTTTCCTTTGCTTAGTTGAAAAAAAAATTGTAGTTATATATTAATATTTTTTTAAATAATTTTAAATATTTTTTGGATTACTATTTATTTTTAATTATTATTATTATTATTTAATGTCAAAACTTAGCCTTTAAGCGCGTTTCTTTACCTCGAGTTCGTAACAACCTTTTTTTTATAAGTTTCACATATGATTGTGTGTTTGTATGTATGTTCGTATATTTAGTTAGTATTTTCCGTTTGCATTAAATAGCACTACACTTCTTTTCCATTACGTTCACTCTTGTGGCGTTACTTACTTCGTTTCAACCGCTAAGTCAACATTACCGTTCAAGAGTCACCGTTGCACTGATTCCAACTGTTGCTAACACGGTAGCTTCAAGCCATAAAACGTGCCACGAGCTAGCCACCAACAGCAAAACAACAGCCAGTAACAGCAAAAGTCAGTCCATACATGCAAAGTAGTCTCTGCAGCGTTGGTAAAACAACGAAGACAGCGAGCAGAAGACCACTTCGCTGACGCCAACGTCATCCTCACCGCTACCACAGGTGGTTTTGTTAGTTCACTTTTACGATTTTATTTTGTTGTTTTGCTGCTTCGGCAAGTGCCACTCAAGTTTTTCTTGTTCATCTTTTTATTGCCATTTTCGCATATTTTCACAAGTCAACAAAAAGCAACAACTACAAATAATATTCAAAATAAATTCATACAACAGAGAGCCATGACAGAGCGCTGAGTCGCTTTGAGCAACAGCAGCAGCAATAGTAACAGCCATAACAGCAGAAAAGCCGGTTAAGTTACTATGTTGTAGTTAAAATACCAACAAACAACAAACAAATAGCGGCAATCCACCACTAACCAACTCTGTGAACCAGTTAGATCTGAGCGGTTTATATATGGCTCTGCTATTTATTTTTTAAACATTTGTTTTTCTTTGCTATTGTTGTTGTTGTAGTTAACATTATGCCACAGGCTTGAAGTGCCTTATAAATTAGTTCTACATACCTATGTTGATTTAATTATGTTACGGTGCAATTTTACAGACGGCAGAGAGTAAATTTATGTGCATACACTGAAAATAAACAAAACAAAATATATAAAAAATACATAAAAATAAATAGAAATAAAACAGTAATCAACAATAAGATAAAATAAATAAATAGGAAAAAAGAATTAGGTGTAAAACAAAAACAAAAATTAAAATAAAAACTGAAAAGTATAAATTAAATCAAAGATATAAAAAAAAATTTAAAATATGAACGTAAAAATTAAAGTCAGAAAATAAGAGTGAAAAAACATAAAAAAAAACATATAAAACTAAAAAACATTTAAAATAAATAGAAAATAATAAATAGTAACAAAAAATACACAAATAGAAGAAATTAAATTTAAAATAAAATAAAAAAAGAAACATATTAAAATAGAACAATATTAAGGCAAATAATTAATTAAATAAAAACAACAAGTAAGGAAGGGCTAAGTTCGGATGTAACCGAACATTTTATACTCTCGCAAAGTCAAATGGTATACTCGTTTGAGATTTCTTTGTGGATTGACTGATATTTTCGGTAGAAGGGCAACTATAGACACTGGGGTCCACATATTTAGTACTTAGGGGTTTGAACAGTTTTGGTTCGATTTAGACAATTTTTGGCCGCAAGGTGGCATACTTTAAACGTATTATTCACGCAAAGTTTTACCCCGATATATTCATTGTTACCTGATTTGCATAGTGGAAAGTGAAAAAATCAGATGGAATTGAAAATGGTGTTACATGGGAAGTAAACGTGGTTGTAGTCCGATTTCGCCCATTTTCGCACTATGACATAAAAACATGAAAAGAACGTTATGCACCGAATTTGGTTGAAATCGGTTGAGCAGATCTCAAGATATGGGTTTTCACCTAAAAGTGGGATGTGCCACGCCCACTGACTAATTTTGAACGCGGTTCCTATAAAGCCAATTTATACCATCTCAGAGATAAAATTTAATGTCTCTGGCGTGTTTAGTGCTTGATTAATCGCGCTTTTAGTAGTTTTTAACAGTACCGTTATATGGGGAGTGGGCGGAGTTGCCACCCGATTTCAACTATTTTCACACCGTCAATAGAAGTGCTAAAAACATTTGCTTCTAGTGAATTTTGTTATTATAGCATTAGCGGTTTAGGAGATATGTACATTAAACCTATTAGAGGCGGGACCACGCCCACTTTTTTAAAAAAAGTTTTAACTGCAGATGCCCCTCCCTAATGTGATCCTGTGTACCAAACAACAGTCTTGTATCTTATTGCGGAGCTTAGTTATGGCAAGTTATTTGTTTTTGATTAATGGCGTTTTGTGGGCGTGGCAGTGGTCCGATTACGCCCATCTGCAATACCAACCGTCTCACGGTACCAAGAAACATGTCTACCAAGTTTCATAAAGATATCTCAATTTTTACTCAAGTTAGAGCTTGCACGGACGGACGGACGGACGGACGGACAGACAGTCACCCGGATTTCAACTCGTCTCTTCATCCTGATCATTTATATATATATAACCCTATATCTAACTCGATTAGTTTTAGGTGATACAAACAACCGTTAGGTGAACAAAACTATTATACTCTGTAGCAACAGGTTGCGAGAGTATAAAAATGAAAATAAGGAACAGTTTAAAAAGAAAAATGTTAATTTAAAAAACGTTATATTTTAAAATTTAATATAATTAAATATAAACACATAGGAAACACACGTAAAATAAGTTAATTTTAATGAAACCAAACAACAGTTTACCGTT